GCCGGGAATCGACGAGCCATTATCGACCATAAATCGGAGGTAAGAACACATGCCCTGGGAACACACTCCTCAGGCTGTGGCTCCACCGGTGTTTTGTCGGTGGCAAGCTGTGAAGAAGAATTTTTTTCTTTTTGAGGAACGATTTTTGATGTTTTCACCATTTTGGTTTTCACGATCAAGAATAGAAGGAGATGAAAAAGATGTTGTTTTTTGAGGAAAGGTTTTGCAGTGAAAATCACAGAAGGAGGATTTTGCAATAAAAATCACAGACTTGCAGATAAACTCAGAAGATGCGAGAAAGAGCTTAGAAAATTTGGAAACTGGAGATGTAAAAGTGATAAATGGTAAAATGAGAAGCTATTTATAGATTGAGGAATAAACATTTCAATATCAGTAGTGGCCGACCACCGTCTGACACGCATTTAATGCATTGGTAAACTGAACCGACGGGACAGTTATCACATACGTCTTGGTCGGGCTCGATGCTAACGTCAGTGTATATCTGATCAAGCCATTAGGAAATCATATTGTTTCTCGCCACATCCTTCCCGAAAAGTGATGGGACTATCTGTATACGGTCGAAACCGATTTCGGCATTCGTACGACTGGTCGAGATGGGAGCATAATGGACCGAAGAGCGCCGAAGAGAGTCTTTGATAAGTTGGTATTTTACCAACTTATCTCCTCTTGATACTTAGGCTTTTGTATGATTTTGTTGAAAAATTAATGCATTTATTAAGGCTTATTGGCATATTTAAGGTATCAATTGATTTAGGAGTGATGGTGAAGAAACCTTGCGAAAACGAGTAAAAAAGAAGCTAAAATGCAAACAACATAATGCCCAGTGAATTACCCTTTGTGCACGCGAAGGGTTAGACGTGAAAGCGGAGCATTAGGACAACAAATCTTCGTGACCACGAAGTGCTGTAAGCGAACGCGAAGGAGAAAGGCAACCTTCACGAACGCGAAGGTATAATCACGAACGCGATGCTGGAGGAAACAATACATCGCGAACGCAGGGCTAGTTCTGCGAACGCGATGAAGAAGATGGTCAACTGCTCTAAAATGCTCTATGTGAACGCATGATGTAGTCTGCGATCGCAATGCCTTACAGCACTACTCTTCGCGATCGCAAGCCTCTTTTCGCGATCGCGATCGCGATTCACAAATCTAGGCAGAAATCTGGGTAGTTCTGGAATTTCACGATTTTGACCCCAAACCATTTAATACAAAACCTAGATCATTTGTAAAGGATCTTTGGCTTATTTTTCAGTTCCTAGACTAAAGAAGACAAGTTTTGGAGCTAGGGTTCTTGCACACACACTTGGGGCTTGAAGATTTGAAGCTTTTGGTTGAGAATTGCTTGCTCATTTATGCTCATTTCTTCATTTCCTTGCTTTGTATTGAATATTTAAGTGTGTGGTATTTTTTTTCAACACTTGAATCTAGTTTATGGGAATATTCATATTTAAAGTATGGATTAAATATCTTGTTGTGCTTATGTATTGAACAATTTTTATTTATTATGAAGTGAGTTACTGTTTCTTTAATTATTCTTGTTCTTTAATGTTTCCAAAGGGATTAGGTAACCCTAGAACTCGCCCATTAACTTTGAATTAATTTTGGGAAAGATTATTTGGGGTTGGAAAAGATTAATTAACAAGAACTTGAGGCTTTAACCCTTACTTTATAGATTCTACCTAGGGATATGATTGATCTACTTGTAGCTGTATCCGGGTGTGCTTAATCTCTTAATTATTTTAGGGATAATTCAATTAGGAAGTCTTGTTAGTCTTCGAAAGAAGCTAATATAGAATTATTACCAGAAGCTAATTAATATAAACTCGCTCATATTTGTAAAATCATGAAATACATTGGATCGTTACTTGAGTGTAAATCCAGATGCATCCATGCTTGTAGCCATTGATCATTTTACTTGCTTTCTAGGTTAGTTTACATTTTTGCATTTAGCTATAATATTTTCACAACCAAATTCTAAGTGTTTGGCATAGCATAACAAGTGATAATTCGCCTACATATTGTTCTCTGTGGGATTCGACCCTGACTCATAGTTGGGTAAATTATATTGCATGCGACCATGTCCATATACTTTTTAGTAGTGGATTTGGACGTCATCAAAATCGGCGCCGTTGCCGGGGAACAATTTGGCGTATTTAGGTTGTTTGAGAAATAAGCGTAAGTGCTTTGGTCTAAACTTGTAAATATTTGTGTAATTATTTTCTTATCTTTGTTTATTTCTATTATTTATTTTCTTGTTTATTTTCATAATTTAAAAAAAATGGCATCATATAATAAAAATTGGCCGGATGGTATTTGTTCATACGTTGATGACCCTTGTCTTTATTGTGGAGGACCACACTCGTGGCAAAATTATTTAAATTCTCCCGGGAGTGGATCGTGCGTACAATCTCAAACCCATGAGTGAAGTACTTGTGATAAGTGTGATCGTCAAAATGGTCATTGGGATAATTGTGCTTATTTATCCTTCCCTTTCCCAAGCCCCCGCTATGATGATTCTACTTTTTGTGATAAAAATAATAGTGATACGGAAGTGGAAGAAATTGAGCATGGTCCAAATGGAGAGTTTAAGCTCATGTTAGAATGCCTACTTGAAGGAGGAAACAAAGAGCAAAATGCCTTGGAGGAGCTTTTGGAAAATAGTCTCCAAAATGATTTGGTGCTTGAAAGGTTGAACTTACAAATGGGAGAAATGCTTGAAGCTTTAGAGGTCCAAAAAGCCTCGGAAGTGAATGATAGCCAAGAATCTTCCTTAGATGTGGAAGCCGAAAACACTTCCTTAGCACTTGATCAAAACCAAGAAGAAATCTCAAATACTCAAAAAGAGAAAATGATGCTCATGTTGGAGGCCATTTTTGAAAATGAAGAGAAGCAAAGCTTGGCACTCGAGGACTTAAAACAAGGCTTGACTAAAAATGATGAGCACATCCGCACTTTGGAAGATCGAATGAAAATATTGGTTGAGGCTCACTATGCCTACCAATTTGAGAGTGTGGAAAGAAGTCAAGAAGAGTCCGACTACGAGGAAGAAAGTGAGCTTTATTTTGAGGAATCAAGAATTGAACATTCGCCAACCGACTCCATGAGTGTTAGTGATGCCAAGAAAAATATGAAATTAGAGTCAACCGGTGTAAATGAAAATATGGTTGAGATTGACTCTAGTCCGGGGGAAAAAAAGAATGTCAAAATCCGGGAAGAATTGCAATTTGGAGCTTTGATGTTACATTCCAAGCATTTTTCAGCATTGGAATTGTGTGGTGATATGGGAATTGAGCTACACGAGTCAATGAAGAATTGCGAGGAGGAAAAGCAAATGCCATACGTCTTACAATTTGAGGGAATAAGAAGGCAAAATGACATTCCTCACATGAAAGCCAAGAATCGCAAAATGAAGAAATTAAAGTTTGGCTTGATCATCAACTTACCACCCTCCACTGCTCATGGTCACAGGCTTGATTCCAATCTAGGTGCCCAATTCATATCGTCCAAGTGGCGAGAAAAGTGATAAAGTTGATCCGCGTCGTGCCACGATGATAAATGCGGCGCTTGGTGGGAGGCAACCCATCGTTTTTCAAAATTTTTATTCGTTTTTAAAATTTTCTTTTTTTAGGATAGCTTAGTATATTATTTTTGACTAATTTGCCAAGTTTCCTAATTTTTGGAGTTGATTTGTACAGGTCGGGGTGACCAGGCAGCCAAAAGCAGTAGCTGATGAACTGCAGAACTGAAAACTGTTACATTATGCGATCACATAAGAGGCTATGTGTTTGCGTAAAGAAACATTTTGCTACCACTATGCGATCGCATAAACAGGCTGGCAATCGCGTCATTTTGGTAAGTTGGTTCTATGCGAACAATGACATCAGCGCGCGATCGCGGTTAACAGGTTAACTCTGAACGATTAAAACACTGGAAAAAAGACACCTACATATGTCAAAACAAAGAAACGATTGTGCCAACTCCTCTAACCCCTGAGAATCATCCTCAACTCTTCATTCTTCAATTTCATCACCATTTTCATCCATCATTCTTCAAGGTATGTATCTCGTCACTTTACTCGTTCTTGAATTTCAACTTCTCCCTTGTGCTACAAGAGTATATGAGCATCCATGTTTTTTTTCTTTTGTCTAATGTTTAGGGCAGAAATTTTAGGGCTTTTATGTGAATATTGTGTGTGAATGTATGCTTGTTTGCTGGATTAGGTTGGTTGAGTGAGAGGGTTGTGACTCTTGAAAAATTTGAGGCTAGATCCGTGCTTCAATTTCTTGTAAATGCTATGAAAATCTGATGCCCATAATATGTTTGTGGAAATGCCTGAAAGAACTTTAAGTGGGCAAGGAAGAAGACCTTCACGATCGCTATGCCCAATTCCGCGATCGCAAAGGTCTATTTTTTCCCCTTCGAAAATTGCTCTCCGTGATCGCGTTGACTGTTCTACGATCACATACTTTTATCTATGAGGTCATCAACATTTCACTTCGCGATCGCATTGGCTGGTCCGCGATAGCAGACCTTTAACTCTGAGAATCAAAAAAATGCTCTTCGCGATCGCTGGTTAATT